AGCGGCAGCGCCCAGCCCCCCGCCCGGGGCTATGGGGTCAGCACTGTCCTCAAGGCAGGGGGGGCAGCGGGGGCCCAGCCACCAGCAGTCACCATGGCAACTGGTAACCAGGGGAACTAGGGTGGGGAGCAGGGGGAGCCCCTCAGAACCCTGCTGTGGGCACCTCCCGTCTCCTTGGGGCTCCACTTCCTGCCGTGGGGCTCACAGCGCATCCCCAGGGCACTGTCCACATGGTGCTCACAGCCCTCCTCAAGGCAGGGGGGGCAGCGGGGGCCCAGCCACCAGCAGTCACCATGGCAACTGGTAACCAGGGGAACTAGGGTGGGGAGCAGGGGGAGCCCCTCAGAACCCTGCTGTGGGCACCTCCCGTCTCCTTGGGGCTCCACTTCCTGCCGTGGGGCTCACAGCGCATCCCCAGGGCACTGTCCACATGGTGCTCACAGCCCTGCCCTCCCCTGGGGCACTACGTGAAGCTCGCAGCAGGGTCCTCTGCCCTGTGGCACTGTTCCCGTGGTGCTCACAGCGGTAACCCCCCATCTCTCCCCTCAGCAGTGCTCTCCGTGTTCTCCCGCACCCCCCAGCTGCGCTCCCGCCTGGGCCGCGACGTGCTGCTGGACTGTGGCTTTGCGGCCCCGCCCGCCCCCTTCTCGGTGGAGTGGCGCTACCAGTACCGGGGGGCCGGGCGCGTGGTGCTGGCCTATGATGGGCGGGCAGCCCGGGCCCATGTGGCCGAGGAAGGGGCGCAGCTGTTCCTGGAGGAGGGGCAGGCGGGCACGGACACCAACGTCTCCCTGCGGCTGCACCAGGTCGGGGTGCGGCACGAAGGCACCTACATCTGCACCATCTACCTGCCCCACTTGCACGCCCAGCAGGCCTTGGAGCTGCGCATCGCTGGTGAGTCTGGGGGGCCTCACGCTCCTGCCTCTGTGCCCCGGGGCGTCTCCTGCCCCCCCAGCCTGGTGACACACGTCTGACTCTGTGCCGATGCTCCCACATCCTGTGCTGTGAACCCCAATATTTACCCCTGAGGTGGAGGGGTCCCAGAGCTACCCACATTGGCCCAAGTACCCCTAGACACACAGGCGCTGAGGATGCTGGACAGGGTTGAATGGGACTGATCGCGAATTCCTCCTTCCTCCCAGAGCTGCCTGTGGTGGCACTGGACCCTGTGCCCCCCATGAGGGCGTAGCTCCTCTCCCCCTCCAGGTCACCCTGCTCCCCAGCCCTGTCTGGGCCTGCCAGGGGAAGAGGGGCACAAGGCTGGTCCGCGGTTTCTAAGCTGCTTTCCCCTCAGAGCCCCCTGTGGTGACGCTGCGCCCTGACCCCCTGATGGTGAGCCCTGGGGCGCCGGCTGAGCTGTCCTGCGAGATCTCGGGCTATTTCCCCTTGGACGTGGCA